AGGCTGTTAATTCTACCCAAGTACCTAGAATGTCACCTTGTCAATACATAACCTGGCAATGAGATGAGGGAAAATCCCTCTTCTCAACCCTGAGGACCAGGACCGACCTGGACCTGCAGCCAACTCATTTGTTGATGAGATGCTGAGCAGGCCACTTAACCTGAGTCCCTTTCCTTCACCCCTCAAACCACCACCACTACCCCCACTGCCCCTGCAGGGCGTGAGGTCATCTCAAGAACTGGGACTCAAGGGACCTGAGGAAAATCACATTTATTAAGTGCTTGCTGTATGTCATACACCTTGAGAACGACACCTTCGTGTTTGTGGTGTGTCTGACCCAACCCACGGTATTTCCCAGCACCTCATATGCGTGCACATGAAAGTTGGACACGGAATACGGAGGACCAAAGAAGACTTGATGCATTTGAATGATGGTGTTGGTGAAGAATATTGAAAGTACCAGAGACTGCCAAAAGAAAAAACAGATCTGTCTTGGAAGAAGTACAGCCAGAGTGTTTCTTAAAAGCAAGGATGGTACAACTTTGTCTCATGCACTTTGGGCGTGTTGTCAGGAGACACCTGTCCCTAGAGAAGGACATTATGCTGGGTAAAGCCGAGGGGCAGCGACAAAGAGGAAGGCCCTTACAAGATAGCTTGACAGTGGCTGCAACAGGGGCTCAACCTAAGAACCATGATGAAGATGGCACAGGACCAGGGGGTGTTCCTTCTGTTGTCACCGAGTCAGAGCTGAGTCAATGGCACCTAACATTTACAACAGTGATTGCTGTTGTGAGGATGGAAAGAGAGACTATTTTCAAAGTGCATGGTATGCAGTAAGCACTCAATACAGGTGACTTTCCTCCAGTCCCTTGAGTCCAGTTCGAGGATGATCTGGCTCCCTTCAGGGGTGCAGGGGAGGTTGGGGCAGTTTACGGGATGGAGAAGAGAGATTGAGAAGGTATTCCCACAGAGGTAGGATATCAGCCCTGTATACACGAGCCTACCTTAGCCTTCCCCATGTCTGACCCTCAGAGGCTGTTGGGCAGAAGAGGCCACAGATACTGTACCCTGACAGGCCTTGTTTCTCCATTCACACCACAGGCCTTCCTCACCCTCCCTGAGCCCATGCTGAAGCAATGACACCCCTACCCTTACCCCCTCACGCTCTGGTGGCTCCCACGAGGCAGGAAATTAATAGCACTTGATTCTACTCTGAAGGTAGACTTGGCAAGCTTGCCTGGGCATTGCAAGCAGGCTCCACTCAGCCCTTGTCTTGTTCCGAGACCCAAGTGATTTACAGGTCTGCATGGGATGAGCAGGATCCATCTTCCTCATCTCATGAATGAAGGTGATGATGCTATCCTCCTTGTGCCCCCCAGATCCCCAGGGCCCTAGAAGGTAAGCTGAGTGAGTGTGGGCCCAGGAGACAATCTCCAAACAGGCCCACCCGCCATTATAAGACCTTGCCCTCAATTTATAGAGACCCAGAGAAGGATAGCAACTGGTCCAGGGCTACACAGGAGTCAATGGCTAAACACACATGGTGATGCTGAAGCATCCGAGTTCAAAGTTTGCTATCAATGGGCAAGTCTCAGCGTAGTTTCCTATGAAGGCAGGACAGTCACAGACCCTACATAAAAGCAATGTGAAAATTTAGTCAGCAAATGCTCACTGGTGCTAAATCAGTGCCACGGCACCCAGAAAGCACTAAATAAGTTAGCGCTTTCTCCAAGATCTGTAGGGATCCCACCCCAAACTCCTGCCTTATTATCACCCTAAAAGATAAGTGGAGACAGCAAGAGCCTCAGAACACCAGGATTGAAGTCCAGGGTTCTGAGGACCACCAGCTACAGTTTCCACTTCTCAGACCTGCTACCATCCAGTGCTATACATGCCAGGCTGGGGAGGGCTGGGATCCCTCCCCCTTCCTTCCCCCCTAACACACACACACACACACACACACACACACACACACACACACACCCTGAGGTGAGGCCTTGACTCTTCATCCAGACTTGTTTCTGCCCTCTTTTGACACTTCCTGCTTTCCAGATGCAAAGAACACAGGTGGGGGTTCTGGACAGAAGCTTTGGAAAGTAAGTGGTCACCACAAGGTCACCAGCATTTCCCAGTTCCTGGAGGTGGCTGTCCCTCATTACCCACTGGCTTAATTTAGGCTGGACCCACCTTGCTATACCTCAAGTTCTTAAACACTCACACACTGGATGGGGGTGGCTTTCTGCTTGAGCGCAGCTGGGAATTGCTGTGAGTGGAGTAGCTGAGATTCCAACCACGATTCAGCAAGCGGAAGTCCCTCCTTCAGGCTCTGGGACAGGCTCATCAGCCCCCACCGGAATAAGCTGGGACCATGCCTCTTTGGTGTCCCCACAGATCTGCAAACACATTCACAGCATCACCCTCCCCAGGGATGTCCATTTGCCACCTGTGCAGGAGGAGCAGAGGTGATAGGTAATTGTCCATGTGGCAGGTGAGGGGATTAAGCCTCAGCAAGGGGCGGTTCCTCCTGGACCCAAGGGCAGACGCAGGCTGAATTTCCCCCCGGGAAACGCGGGAGGTTGCTGACATCACCCTCTGTGGATCGGAGCCGCAGTCCTTTGAGCGCTCAGGAATTCCAGGCTGAATTTGCTGGCTGTCAGACTAGCATAGCCTTGGAAATGAATTCAGGGCTGGCAAATTCATTTTGCCTCTTCTCCCTGGGAGGTGGAAGGAGTGATCTCCCCGGCCCTGAAGGAGTTCAAGCTGAGGTCAGAGAAACCCTTGGAAGGATATTCAAAATTGAGGGGAGGGGTGTGCTCTGACCAGCAGCCCCTGTAGGGCCAGCTCCCAGCCCACGAGGCCCAGCGACGTGAGAGACTGCGGGACACATCCGCACTCCTATAGGGACCTCGTCAATCAGGCGGTGGCCCGAACCGGGCAGGATTTCCTCCATTCGCCCCAACCCCGGGGGGAGACCCCCATCGCGACCGCCTCGCAGCGCCCGCTTCTCCCCGGCAGTGCCATTGTTCTCTGACGTCACGCCACGGCCAGATCCCGCGCCCCCGCCCCCTTCGTCTCCCTCCCCTGGCTCCGGTGGCCCACGACCCCTCAGCCTCCGGAGCCCCGGCCGCGGAGGGCTCCCCCCGCGGCCGGGCCGGGCTGCGCCCCCTCGCGCTTTACCTAACTTGCCTTTGTTATTCCAGCTCCCTTCCTCGCCTCGCCTCGCCTCCGACACCGCGGCAGCCTGCAAAACGTGGAGCGCGGAGTTACCGCCACACCTGGAATCTAAAGCGGCGTTGGGCCAAAGCCTCTAGCGTCGGCCGCTAGAAAGGAGTGTAGGCGTGCGCGTTTCACCATAGGGGGCCGCTCAGTTGCGGATCTTGACTTGGGATTGGGAGGGTTGCAAATGGGCTGGGGGGCTGGGATAGAAGTGTGGAAGAGAAAGCAAGGAGAGTACGTGTATCTGTATGTGCTTGTGACCGCGAGGAGGTTGTGTACAGGGAGTGGTTCGTGATTTGGTTTTTAAGTGTCTGCTTTGCAAGTGTGTGTGCAATTGCATGACTGTACCGATGTACTTGTCCTGGCCTTGTATGTGGGCAAATGTGTGAGTAATGATATACGTGAGTGTGTGGGTGTGCGCGCGCGTGTGTGGAAGCGTGTGCAACGCTGTGGATGGACTCCAAGGTGGTTGCCGCGTGTGTAGGAGTTTCCGTGTGAGTGCCAGGGGACGTGAGCCAAAGTGGGCGCAACTTGGATGCTCTGGGGAGCATGTCTGCGCTGGGAGGCCCGCGAGGGGGCTCACCCAACTGCGTTTTGGGAGTGTGCGTGGGAAGAGGGGGATGGACGCCTCCTTCGCCCCTGGGGGTCTTTTGGTGAGGATCGGGGTGTGAGTCCTGCGCGCTCGGCCGGGGGCGCTCCGGGACCTCGCCGGGCGCGCGGGCCGGACTGTCGCGCCTCGCCCCCACCCCTCCCCAGCCGGACCCCAGACTACACTCCAGTAGCCCGCAACGGCGCCCTAGGGGAAGCCTCCGTGGCCAGTGCCCGGGCTTTAGGGACAACCCCCAAGTCGCCTCCTGGGGAAGGCGTAGGAAACCCTGTTAGCAACTCACCCTGGATCTTGAACCTGACAGCCACTGGG